CCCGAGAGCTAAGGCAAATGGGGCGGGTAGGCTTTCGAGCTCCCGGATGAGGGGAATCGGCTGCCCGATTCCTTTAGCTTGTGTTTCCCCACATGGCGAGCTTAACGAAACAGAAAACAAAATACCACAAATAACAAAACACATAACAAAACAAAGGAGTCTCCTTTCACATAGAAATTAAGCAATAATAAACGTGCTCTACGATAGTGGCTGGCGGAGCGGAGTCATCGACGGGATTCGTAACGACACGAGGTCGAAAACAAATCTGCTTCCAATGAGTTTCAAAAGCTTCTCTGAAATTTTGCATGCTAATGGAAGGGTCTTAGGAGGAGACTCGGGAATGGCAAAACTGCATTTTTTATACGTTTTGTTGCGCTCTTCCTGTGAGAAGACGCACATTGAAGGAATCGGTCAGACGTTTCTCCTCACACGAGATCCTAAAGGCCCACTTGCCGCTTTTGGCAAACCATCGCAGGGAAAATTCGCGTATGAACGGCAAGCCGGCCAAAGATCTATACACTTGCAAGGGTTAAAGATGGAAAAAACGAATTCTTCTAGGCAAGTGTGATAAGTGACATTTTCATCAGGAAAGACTGTTGAGGACGAAGCCTTTCCACTGCCAGCAGGCATCGGGAAAACTTCATGAAACATAACTTCTCCATGTCGCCCCCATCCGCCCCAAAGTGACACCGTAGACTCTTTAATGCGGGACAGCTCAATAGGTGCATGCTCGTCTCTTCGCACTGTCCACGTTGGCTTGGTTTCATGAGGTCCGGCCTGAATCGATGGCTAAATGTGCGGTGCCTAGTGGGTCCATGTTTGCTGTGGCGCTGGAATCCGCACGTGGGGCACGAGAAGGCAGAAAGAGCCAAGTCATCAGGAGCATCCTCCTGGAGCCGCCGGCGTTTTACCGTTACAGGAACCCCGCGGCCCTCATGATAGCGGCGGCAGTGCGGTCGAACGGATTCAAGAGAAGCGAACCATTTCAAACACGCCAAGCACTGTATTTCTCTACGCCGCTCGTGGGGTAGATGGGGGGCGGCCCCCTCGTTCTTTCGCTGGTCGTCGGTCGGAAAGGAAGCCTCTGTTCCCGTACGCTTTTTAAGATGGGGCAATTCTGCTTCATCTTTTCCCTGTTTTACGGCAGTGGCGTGCACGGTAGGGGGGTCCTCTCTCTCTCGCTTGGGGGGTTTTGGTGTGCCTGTGTTTGGGCCTTGTGCTCTATTATTCTGTTCGCCGGGGTGCTTGTATTTCATGTGGATT